AGAGAGAGAGAGAGAGAGATAAATAGATAGAGAGAGAGAGTGAGAAAGAGAGAGAGAGAGAGAGATCTTGTTGGAGGCAGTAAAATGATATGAAAGAGAAGTTCGTTTCCTGGTTTCAACTCCCCCCCCCAACATCGATCTGTATTTAACATGCACCAAGACATACTGCGAGGTGGAAGCTTGGATCTCTGCTTTTTGGAAGGAGTGTCTAACCACATACACAAATTTAGGGGACTTTGTCTGCCGAGACTCATCCCTCGTTGAGTGGGATACACCATCCTGCAGTCAGCATTGGCTATGAAAAACGTCTCTAGCAGATACACCACAGACTCCGGTGCCAAGATTCTTGGTGTCCGCACCCTGCACCGACATATTTCATGGTGTGCACACACCTTATAACGTTATCTTATTTCATGGTGTGCACACACCTTATAACGACCTATTATTTCATTATGTACACACCTTATAACGACATATTTCATGGTGTGCACACACCTCATAACGTAATATACACCTGAAGGCTATCTCGCTTATTAGTGGACCGAATTTTACCAAATTTCACACATATAACAAGCATAGTAAGGAATCTTTAAATCCGCAATCAAATTTGAGAAAAAGTTTCGTTTCCATGGATATGGCTGCCATATTGGATTTTGTTGACATGTCTTACATAATGAATACCGCACTTATCGCTCATGGAAATTGAATGTTTTTTTGCATGCGTGTATACAAACATTAAATCAAAAGATCATTCTGTTGTTTTTTCCTAAACGAATTAGAACCATTTTTATGATTTTTTTCCTGAAGTAGCATTCAAGTTTTCAAAAAATCTGTAAAAATCCACACTCCAGACCCCACCAACAAAAATCTATTCCTATATATAAAAAATTCAACAAACAAAATTTTAGTATTACATCTTCTCTTCACTCTGTAAAAATTGTATGAAGATTGGATAAAAAATGGTGGAGTTATTTTAAAAAGTATAGAGAAAAGTCGCGTTTTGAGAAAACGGCCGATAAAGAAAAATAAAATACTGACTTTATGAGGAAACTGCGGTGACAATGGGAAAAAATACAGGTTTTTTTTTGGG